TTCCCAGCTTTGTCACAAATTACCTCAGACCCTTGGGTGCTGAACACTGTTCGCGGTTTCCATATAGAACTCGTGAAACACCCTGTACTCATCCCTCCTCCTCGACCAATCTGCTTCTCACTCTGAGATCGCAGATTGATCGATGAAGACCTCTCCACACTCCTAGTCAATGGGGCAATAGAACGGGCACCACTCATAAGCAACATTTTCCTAGTGGAAAAGAAAGGTGGACAAATGTGCCCCGTCATAAATCTGAGCCCCCCTCAATGCCATGGTTCGGTACCACCATTTCAAGATGGAGGGTATTCACCTACTGAAAGATCTACTCCTGCACGGGGACTGGTTGGCAAAGCTAGATCTCAAGGACGCATACCTGACTGTCCCGGTAACAGTGACCTCCCGAGACCTCCTGCACTTCCACTGGCGGAACGAGATTTGGCGGTTTACCTGACTACCATTTGGCCTCTTCTCAGCACCATGGTGCTTCACAAAGCTGCTGCGATCAGTCATGGGGTTCGTCTAATCAAATACCTAGACGACATCCTACTCATGGCTCAGGAACGCTCCACACTCCTTACACACCTCAGGTTGGCCATAAACCTCCTTTCACGATTGGGGTTCATTATCAACTGGGAGAAATCATGCCTGATCCCCGCCACTCGTATGGAATTCCTAGGATTCCTCGTGGACTCGGGGGAGGCGACCCTGAGCCTTCCGATGGCCAAGATTCGATCTATATGCAAGGAACTTCGCAGAGCCCTCATTCGACTCCAGCTCACCTTGTGACAACTTGCGCAGCTCATTGGCCTACTGGCATCATCTATACAGGCAGTATTTCCAGACCCGCTCCACTACCGAGTGCTGCAACTCCTGAAAATAGCCCACTTAAGGGCCGGTGCATCCTATGCGGACCTGGTGTCCCTGGACAGCGAGACGAAAGACGAACTGCATGGAACGGCAAGGCGATCTTCGGCTCGCTGCCGGAATTCACCATCAACTCCGATGCGAGCCTCCATGGCTGGGGGGCCCATTGCGAGGGAGTGTCTACAGAACCCCAGAGAGCCGAAGTCGGAATCTGAGTCCCGACTACACATCAACGCGCTGGAACTCCTGGCAGGCTCCTTTGCGATCCGCAGCTTTGCGAGGGACCGGGCACTGGCATGCATTCGCCTCTGCATGGACAATGTCTCAGCAGTGAGATATGTCAACCACCTGGGTGGTACACAGCCTGCAGTGCTGGCCAGATTGGCGAAAGACTTTTGTGAATTTTTCCTGGAGCGGAACCTGATGATCTATGCAGAATACTTGTCAGGCCTACACAACGTTCAGGCGGACTGGGGATCACGATATCTTTCGGACACCAGCGACTGGAGATTGGACACGGACGTGTTCTCCAGTATATCATCTCTCTGGGGTTCTTTTGCCATCGACCTCTTCGCATCTCGGCTCAACACCCAGCTGTCCCGTTTCTTCAGCTGGAGGCCGGATCCGACAGCGGAGGCATTAGATGCTTTCCTGCAAGACTGGAGTGCTTTCCCCCCATTCTCTATGATCCCGTGCTCACTCCTGCAAACCCGCAGGCATCTTGCCGAATTGGTCATTGGGAGAAATCTCCCTTCTCGCAGATGCAGTCATGGTTCCCTCAACTTCTTGAGGTGGCAGTGGACTACCCCAGACTATTGCTCCCTTCCGCTCCTAGCGTGGCAGATCTCCGGGGAGTTTCGGAAATGACTAGATGCCTGTTGGCAGAAGCATGGGCTCCCGGCACTGGTGCCTGGCTAGGGACGCGGATCAGCCTACCAGACTATCAATATTTATCGAACCATTGTGAACCATTGCCCTTTTGGCGCAAATCTGTCCCTGTGGCGAAGATACATAGACGACTGCTTTTTTATCTGGAAAGGGGACTTAGAATCCCTAGAACTATTTCAAATCTACCTCAACACCAATCCATATAATCTTAGATTTACTTTTAACCACTCCCGAGAACAAATCTAATTTTTAGATCTTAATATTTTTATTGAGGAAAAGAGAATACACACCAAGACTTTTAAGAAATCTGTGGATTGTAATAGTTTTATCCCTTTTAATAGCCACCACAAACAGACCTGGCTCAAAAATATCCCATACAACCAATTTAGGAGGATCAGACGAAATTGTTCAACAATGGAAGTATGTGAAGAACAAATGGAAGAAATGCAGCAGAGATTCTTGGATAAAGGATATCCCACAAAATTACTGATCGAAGCCAAAAATAAAGCCCTAGCTAACCCAAGAGATGACACTCTGATAAACAAAACTAAGACCAATGAGACGTATAAATCAGCACCTACTTTTATAACGAAATTCAACCATCAATCCCGCACCATAGAGAAAATCTTGAAAAAACATTGGAACATTCTTAGGAATGACCCTACACTTATGGAAATTCTAGACCCCAAACCACAGATTATTTTCACTAAAGCACCAAATCTACAACTCATGCTGGCCCCGACACTTAAACCTTCCAATAACATCCAGAGCAAAACAGTGACTAAAGGCTTTAGAAGGTGCAGGAAGTGCATGGCATGCAAGAACAATCCCTCCCTGGAGCTTGAAATTACAAAATTCACGTCTGTGAATAATATGGAGGAATATGATCTGAAGACCAACATGAGCTGTGACACAACAGGAGTAATTTACCTTATTACATGCCCCTGCTCTAAACAATATGTAGGTCGAACAAAGAGATCATTAAAAATCAGAATAGCGGAACATATCCGAAACATAAAAAGGGGACTCCAAACACATAATCTCTCTAAACACTTTCAGGAGTTCCATGGAGGAGACCCCAACGGGATTGAAATTTTTACCCATCGAGAAAGTGAACGTTCACTGGAGAGGTGGTGATATGGAAAGAAATCTGGATCAGACTGAAGCAAAGTGGATATTCCACTTAGAGACTGTGGTTCCCAGCGGTCTAAATGTAGACTTTGAACTTATTGCTTTTTTATAGAATGCTCTTTTTTATAGAATGCTCTTTTTTTATATAATGCTTGTTTTTAAATACTTTTTATTACTTGTCTATTTATAGACCTTTTATGAATTATTCAATTGAATTTCTAATGAATTTCTATTATAATCTACATATCCATGTATTCCTTTTCTATTTATACTGCATTGTTCCATTATTATTTTACTATATATATATATTAATTTTTTTCCGTTTATATAGACTTTTTGGAGTTATACCTCCTCACCATAGGCACTCTCTCTTTAATATTCACCACACCTAATCAATTTAATTATGTAATGAGAAATCATATATTATCTCTTTAACTAGCATTTTTGTAGCTATTTTTGCATCCATAACTTCTTACATTAATTTTAAATTAGGCACTTCTTTATAAGCTCAACATACTTATCTTTATATTTATACATAGCTTTAATCTCTATATTTAATATTATTCGCAACACCTTTTCAATCACTAAGATTGGCCACTTTCTCATATACTTCATGCATCTATAAACACGGGTATTCAGAATTTTATGTATACACCCTTATTCCCCTTTACGCACACCACACACTTTAGGTCTATCCCTAACGGAAATATAGGTCTATAATACCACTTACGTTATATATGTGTTTAACTATGTTCATTTATGTCACATACATATACATTTGGGTCATAAATACAGTATACAAACTTATTGGGAGTACAAGTTTCAATAGGGTTAACTTCACAGTTCATTTTTACATTTTCCGTTATCTATTTTTCATTCCACAATTTTTTTTTTCCATTTCTTTTTTCTTTCCCATATTTATTCATTTCCTTAGAATTTTTGGAGATGTTTCCTATGACGATTTTCTTGATTATTAACTATATCGGAATCTTATTAAGGATAATACGAAAGATAATTTCATTTCACCGTTCTCCCCTGATACACTATATAACCATTTTAACGAGAATACTGTTGCAATGTAAATGTAACACTATGACACTCTGACGGGAACATTGCTACAACACACTAAGCAAACGACATACTATAATACCATGACACAAACGAATTTGTGCATTTACATTGTTTATTTAAAGCTTCAGACATGTATATAATATATAAATAAAAGAGAGAGACAGCGCCATACAACCTATTAGGCAGCAACCCCAAAAAGGGAATCCCCCCAAAACCCTATAATACAAGATAAAAACAAAATATAAAAGAAGGGCTGCGCCACAATAAATAGACAATGTCCAGTTCCAATAGTGATAATAAATATTGAAAGAAAAGTCCAACCTAAAATGTCCTCTCTGTCGTCCTTGGATACAGGAACAAGGTCTTCAGGTATAATATAAAAGATAAAAAGAGAGAACAGCCGATAGTGCAGTATGTATGATTCAGATGAAATAAAATTCGAATAATGGTAGCGAACTCACAATTTTTAAGAGCTTCTGTCCAGCTCTAGGGTAAAGCGCACACAGCGGTATAATCCCCGCTTATGGGATATATGATGAGTATCAATTCGTCAGGGATATCCAAAACTCAAAGAGAACAGAAACAACCAAATAGTGAACTCTGTATAAATTTATGTCGTAGGGAGAAATAAAAAACGTACTTACAAGTACAGAGCAGGCCAACTGCTCTTTGATGCCAGCGCTGGTGGAATAATCATTCCATTTGATAAAGTCTGTAGACGAAACGCGTTATGGAAATCTAATTTTGTATAATAAATATTAAAGTTTTTTTTGGCTATTTAATAGTACAAATTATCTTTATTTATACATCTATTCTGGCTATTTATTTTATTTTGCTTTTTATTATATTTTATATATATTTTATCTTGATTTTAACATCACTTCTACAAGCTCCCGGCAGCCAAAGAAATCTTGGTGGGGATTATTCCACCAGCGCTGGCATCAAAGAGCAGTTGGCCTGCTCTGTACTTGTAAGTACCTTTTTTATTTCTCCCTACAACATAAATTTATACAGAGAGCACTATTTGGTTCCTGTTCCTTATGTTTTCACAGCCTGAACCGATCCGGTGGAATGCCATGCTTCGACATGTGAGGACTTCCCATGCTGATGCAGTTTTTTTCTACGATCATCCCGTTGTGCTTCCCTGTTGTTGAAGTGATGATCCTCTTCTTGGTGTGAAAGTTTCTCCGTTGTCTTCTCACTGGACATTCTTGATGTTCCTGGTTATGGACGTTATGTATAGTGTTGCATCTTCAGAAAGAGGGAATTGGAAGGGAAGTGCTGCTTATTATACTGGGACCTGAGCGGGGAGGGTCCTATGTTACTGTATGTTCATTGTTTTCATTCTGTTTTGTATTCTTTGCTGCTATTGGTGGACAGTAAAGAAAGGGATATGCAATACTCGCTTCCATGTCTTTATTAGAATCATGACTTTTGGTCATGTAGTAGCAAAATCATGCAATTTTAAGCAAAAATAGCTGAACTGGAATAAATATCTGATGGGGTTATTCACTGAAGTCTGAATGCAGTCTGCATTTGCAAAGTTTATTAAAAATAAATTGCAACCAATTTTGCAATTCTCATATATACAAGGAGGGAGTCCAGAAGAAATTTGGTAATTTAAAGTAATCATGACCATCTTATTTAGTACCATCTGTCTGCTTTATCACTGTAGGCACTATAACCTTTTCTCCTCATAGAATTGCATATAATGTCTGGAGTCTTTTGGCACTGTCCCTCCATTCAGTTTTAAACAATTTTCAAGCAGTTTATCATTGAATGAGGGTCCATGTGGACCCAATTCCCCACTGGACTATTGGCTAAGGCAGAGATTCTAGACTTCTTTATTCATACCAATTCATACCAGCAATAGAAAGCTTTGATAGGCTGAAAGTGGTCAACTGACACGCTCAGCCAATCACTACTGTTATTCAGGATAATGATTCCTGTATGTATGTCATATATACAATATAAGATTTGTATAATTATAAGAATTTATATGTTAAAAGAAACCAAAATAAAGAATCAATGGCTTAGTTATTAAACAATCCAAAGGTCGCCCAATACCTTTAATAAAAAACAGATAACGAGCTGCTAGAACCAGAAAAACATAAAACAGATCAATACAAAGGGACTTTCTGTAAAAATACTGATGACTGTGTATCTGTCAGTGAGTGTATGTCAGTGCAGGTATCATGAGGGCCTGTGTCTGTCAGTCAAAAAATTGGCCCTCACACAAATTGGTGGGGCAAATTTAAATTAGAAAGGTGCCCGAATTTAGTAGTGTCTAGGGCAGCATACACCACTGGGGACAGGCAAGGTCTGAAAGACAGAAAGGAATCTTGGAAGGAGATTCATTTTGATTCAGGTGACCTAGCCAAGAAATTCCTTTGTTTCACCAAGACTGTACGTCAGCTCTGACTTTTCTTAAAAATGGGGAGTAGTTAATGTCATAACTGCCTGGGAACCAAGGAAAAAAAATTTCTTCCAATTTCTTTCTTTGATGAAGCAGAAGAGGAAGTTTCCAGTCTATCACGTGAGTTATCACTGGAAAGCTAAGGATGTCCTCTTTACAATACTGCAAGGATTGATAGAGTAGTTCAAAAGAATAAAAGGACATGCATGTGAATGAAATGTCCAGTACAGAGGACACAAGTTAATAGGCTGGGTCTAAGGAGGATAAAGTAGTTGTCTGTCAATTTTAAGTCTAGCTCTCAGTCTACAGTATTGCACAATTTACTGCATGCTCACTCTAAGATCAAAGATTAATTCGCTTTATGATAGAAGTTGCTGTTTTGTTCTTTTTTTTATTTAATTTTTTTTTTTTACTTGGTCCCTTAGAATTTCTGGATTTCCAACAGCGATGGGCTCAGCTCTCACCATTCCTGGTCACTGAGCATCATAGGAGTTGTTATTATTATTATCATTTACATAGGGCCAACAGATTCCGTAGCGCTTTATTAGAGGCAGTTGCGGGGCAATACGTCTATTGGGAAGACCAATTAGGAGAGAGTTACAATAGTCCATGCGAGAGATTACCAGAGCATGGACAAGCTTTTTAGTAGCATCTTGTCTAAGAAACAAGCGGATGCGGGCAGATGTTTTTAGGTGGAATTGGCATCATTTGACAACAGACCGGATGTGAGGCTCAAAGGTGAGGCCAGAATCAAAAGTAACACCAAGACAACGTGCTTGTAAGGATGTGCAGATGTGGGTACCACCAATCTGAAGGGAGAGCGAGAGAGGAGGATTAATATTAGGAGGAGGAAAGACAAGAAGTTCTGTTTTGGAAAGATTCAGTTTCAGAAAGAGGGAGGACATCCAATCAGAGATAGGAGAAAGGCAAGAGGTGACACGTTGCAGGACGTCAGGGGAGAGGTCCGGGGAGGAGAGGTATATCTGGGTGTCATCAGTGTACAGGTGGTATTGGAATCCAAATGATTCAAGAGGTTTCTGTTCCCAACACATGTAAAAGTAAACTGTTACTCTAAATCTGGTTAAAAAAAAATGTTATCTCTAAGATATTTATTTTACATCAGTGGTTTCACTCACTGTACTGAGACACACTGGTGTGCTTGAAGCCACCTCAAAGCGCAATCCAAACACATTGACTTTATGGCTGTGATAGGTACTACTAAAAATGTGTATTTTCCATGTAATTCTTTAATATAAATATAAAATGGGATTGCTATCTGTAAATGAATCAAGACTAATAAAACCAGACTATACTAGGGTCAGCAGCAGTTTATAAATATGTTTGGTAGTGAAGAAGTTAATAGAGATTAATTTTTACCAAGCTTCCCTTGTTTTATTGACATTATATATGAAAATATAAAGAAAATGTGTGAACATTTTTGATTCTTATGTGTTAATGCCATCGTATGGCATCACATGATGCAAAAAAATTGTGGGGTTGGGGGGGGGAAGCTGGTCCTTGAAAAGATCTCAAACACTATTAGGGGCAGATATATTTTTTGTAATTCTTTATTTTTTAAGTGCATTTTACAAACAAAGATCGCATGAGATACATTGTGGATTCAGCAGTGAATTGACATGTCAAATTAGTAGTAGTAGTAAGTGTACAATGAATTCAGCACTTTTTTTTTTTAAATTGAAAGAGTAGAAGGTAAATATAACAGAGTAATAAGTAAGCAGGTTATAATGATAATAAGATATCAAGGCATTAAAACCACTGAAGCCCACCATGAATAAAAATGTAAAACATATATTATCTGCCCCACAACTCCTAGAGGTCAAGAGAAGGATGGTGCTAGGGCTTTAATGCCGGATGGATATTTAGCTTATGCCGCTACACAGCACTGCCTACCAGGCGTATATTTACTGGGCCAGTACCTCTGAGTGTTACCCCACCAGCCCTGAACTGTCACACAGTCCATTTAAGTGTTCTCACAGGTCCAGTTGCAAGTGACGACTCACACATAGTCACGGAAACCATCTGGAGATAACAGAATTCAACGCTGAGCATATGGCTTCCGAGTATGTGTACCTTGCCTGGGGATCAGCTACCAGTTTAACCAAGGCCTAGGTGAGTGCTGGTTGCTCTGTGGGCTTTGTGTCTGTCTCTCTCTCAAGGCACCTTTTGTAGCTTTCAACATTTCGCACCGTCGGTGCTGTGGCAATGCGGACCAGAACAAAATCCCATTCTGGGGCCTGACCAAAAATTGTATGCTGAGGACTGTCCGTCGCTGCAGACCTCTTCGCCCTTCAGGAGATCCTGGCCTACAATTGTTCAAAGGCCCGCTCGACCCACTTTTCGTGGAGTGCCTAGGTCGCAAGTGCCGCTACAGTGGCCATCTTGGAATGCAGGCTGCTAGTGTGCTCTCCGCAGATTGTACAACTACACACGGCCATCTTCTGTTTCTTACTGCTAGGATCAGGTGAGCTCTCAGTGGGGGCCGTGATATCCCCCACCGGTCCAAAGGTGGGGTGAGGGGGAGGACAGGGCCTCAAAACAAGCTGCGCGTTGGGAGTCGAAACAGCAGCCGTTCCTCCAGCTTGAGTGCGGTCGTAGGCTGCCGAGACTTGCAGTGCAGGCCACTTGGAGCTAATCTTCCCAGACCTGGTCAGAGTCAAGAGGTTCCTTTTAGAGGCTCAGATGGTAGGTTTGCCTTATAATTATACAATATTAGGTGACTGACGAGGAGCTCCAGCTGCAGGTGTCTGCCTTGGTCAGTAGTCAGGCCCTGCCCCTATGTTTGTTTTAAAAAAAAAGTAAATTGTGTTGCTAGGAATTTGATGTGAATTAAAACAGATACTGTAATGCTCAAAACATCCTTATCTCCTGAGCTTTCTAAATTGAAATATCTCACTGCAATATTAGTTTAGACCTAAGATTGTGAGGTTGTTCTTGTTAACAGAGATGGATATTAGGGCCCAGCCAACCTGATTTTATCTCCTGCATTAAAGCTCATATTGTGCCCTGGCACCAGCCAAGAGTATTTATTTGTTTGTAGTTACAGCTGACTGACAGGAAATAAATAAAATCACCTAAGCCGTGCTGACTAAGCAGCAATGACCAGGAGAGCCCCACAAAAAAAACACTTGATATATACATGTATATATTTAATTACTGCAGCCCTACTAGTCTAACACCAAATGTCAGGTAATGGTTATAATGAAGAAAAAAAAAATCAAAAATAAATGTTTATTTTTAATGTTGGCATGTAAATTCTTAGATTCCTGACAGCCACCTCTATTTTCTTTTTGTTTAAAAAAAAAGTTAAGAATGCTTGTAAAACTCACATTTCTCTGAGCACCAGATCAGCCTCCACTGAGCAGTCACTCATCCTCTTGTGAAATCATCACTAATGATGACTTGTGTTGTGTCCAATCCAATGTGTAGCGTTACTTACCTTATCCAGGGGCCGGCCGCGGTCCTCTCTTCGAGCCGCGCGCGGCTCATCCGACGGCTTCAATAGGAAGGCAGGCAGTGACCGCGAGAAGTGGTCACGTGTCCCGCCTGAATCTAAGAGCGCGCCGCGAGTCTCGGGCGCGCTCTTAAATAAACAGTGGGAGCCTAAATTGTCAAAAGGCTCCCATTGGCCCCTGTCATGCCACACTCCCCATACACTTACCTTTTGGGGGTGTGGATATGACAGGAGCCAATCACATTAGTTTAGAAGCTATTTAAACTTACCTCTCCCTTTATCCCTGCCCTATCGTGGTTTCTGTTTCAGTTCCCTTTAGCGCTTGTTGTGTTCAGTTGTGTTTTCTTCGTATTGACTTTGGCTTTGTTTCTGACTACGTTTTCTCTTTATCCTTATCTGTTCTGGTTGCCGGCTTGCTGTTTACTGTGTACCAGACCCCGGCTAGTCCTAGTTTACGCTGTCTCTCTGTGCCCTTGACTTCGGATCGCTCCTGACTCTGTCTCCTCTCATATACGTCGAGTCCGGCCATTCTAAGGTCCGGTAGACGTATCTCTCCTCTGTGTTGTCTTCTGTTTAGCTGAATCCTGCGTGTTGGGGTATATTCTCGTTACACAATGCTTCTCACAGAGAAGCAACAAAGATAGATGGCGCAAGCACAGCAGTTTCTGAGATCAGCTAAGCGGTTGCTTCTCAATCATTCTGGTGTTAATGGTGTTTCTTGTCATCATGCGTTGGAAGGTCTTCATGAGAAACAGCTTCTGGTGGTTGTTAATTTAACAGACACTAGAGGAATGAAAAATTGCTGTTTTACATTGGCCAATAAAAATGACAGGCTCTACACACCAAAACCACTTCATTAAGATGATACTGTTTTGGTGCTAAGAATGTGTCTTTAATGGAACACACTATCACAGTAATATCTCCATTGTCTTGGTGTAAATCTATGTAGACCTACATTTAATGTATACATGCCGTGGTTTTATCTGGCATTACCTAGATTATTATAAGCTGTATTTCACATAATCTTTATGGTCCCCACCTGCTAAGCAATTAGGTTTAGAACGTAGCCACATAAGAAGTGTAAGGAGCCATAAGAGCTATTTTAGGGATGAATGAAGAACAATATGTACATGAAGCCCACTGGGATTACTTTTTTCAAAGTAAATGTCATACAGTGTAAAAGCTGTTAGGGCTGTTATTTGAGTTTCCAATTATTTGCACCCAGCAGGATACATGATTCATGTTTGATCCTGAGATCACACACAAGGCATATTGAGATGGAAAGAAATAAAAATGACACTTTGTGCTAAAAGATTTATTACAAAATCTAAAACATACTAACATGCGCAGAAACCAGATACACATTCATTCACTGGTGTCTACATTGCACAATGGAAAAGTGCAGCAGTATTACTTCTCACCTGCGAGAGACTGAGAATGTCACAGTGTTCACCGGATCTATCAGGACTCCGCTGTTTTTATTAAATAATTTCTTAATGCTAATACTATCTCATCTTGGAGGATGTGTCATGCATTTACTACTTTTCTTCTCTCACATCTCCCTTATTACTATCAGTGTAGCACATTTCAGTCTTTACTGCACACTTCGTCCTCCATCTCCAAACTTTTCGCCACATTATAAGAGTCATTTGTTATTCGTGTGTGCCAAGCTCTGCTATGTGGATTCCCCCCACTTACAGCTTGTACAGTGCTGTTGTCATCAGAATATGGTATAGTCCACTGGCATTCACTGGAGATTCTCTGTCACTTCTTCGCTAGGTGAAGGCGAGTTCTCTTGGTTTTCTGCCAAGTTTAATTTTTGTCTGAATTTTGTGTTAAGTAAACAATGTCCAACCAAGAAAATAGAACTGCACTCAATCCATTAATAAAAGCCTGGGTGCAACCAAACTTGGGGCTTTTTGGCCAAACTAAGGCCCAAAAAGTAGTTAGTTGTCACCAGAGTAAGGAAAAAGTCCAGGCACTCCAAGGCTTAGATAGGCAGTTTTATTTGAACTGCAGTGTCCCGCAGCAACGTTTTGACCTAAAGGTCTTTTTCAATTCAATGTCAATTACACTAGCAGAAAATAGTTGTCAGTATTTTTTTTCTTTACTACCTTTGCCATATTTTTTTATATTCCATCAGCTTTCTACCAACACAAACTATAAATTCACACCTTTATCGTACCTGATAAACATAGCCAGTTATCTAATCTTCAACCTCCCCAACTATAGCCTTGATTTAATTATTTTGGATAAGCATTTCAAGAATGAAAATTATTTTAATACTTAAAAAAATGTTTTAACTGCTAAGGGAATGCCTGAGACTTCCACAGATCAAGGATGCAGAAAAAGAGGAGGTTCCTTGGCAAAACAAACCTCTTCATGGGGTGTACCACCGGCAGATAGTGGATGTGGCTCATGTGACAAAATCCTACCAGTGGTTGGAAAAGGCAGGACTGAAAGACAGCACTGAGGCACTAATCCTAGCAGCACTGTAACAAGCACTCAGCACCAGATCAATAGAAGCTGGAGTCTACCACACCAGGCAAGACCCAAGGTGCAGACTGTGGAAAGAGGCCTCTGAGACAGTCCAGCACCTAGTAGCCAGATGCAAGATGTTAGCAGGAACAGCATACATGGAGAGACATAACCAAGTTGCTGGGATTGTGTACCGAAACATCTGCACAGATCCTGTGTAACTTCAAGATCCAGACAGACAAGTAAGTGCTGGCCAACCAACCTGACATTGTGGTGGTAGACAAGGAACGAAAGACTACAGTCGTGGTGGATGTGGCAATACCCAGTGACTATAACATCAGGAAGAAGGAAAATGAGAAGGTGGACAAATACCAAGGGCTGAAAGAAGAACTAGAAAGGATGTGGAAAGTGAAGGCAGTAGTAGTCCCAGTTGTTATAGGAGCACTCCCAAGTTGAGGGAGTGTCTTCAACAGATTCCAGGTAGGAACAGCTAAGATACTGCGCAGAACCCTCAGACTCCCAGGCCTCTGGTAGAGGACCCGAGAATGGGGAATAAACATACCACCCAGGAGGGGTGAGAAAATAATTTTTTTTAATTATATACATGATATTTTTTGAAAAGCTTTCCAAAAATATTAAATTGAGGCCTGAGACACCTGCAGCTCTTGGCAATTTGAGTAACCCCCACCCCCTTACCGAATGTTCATCCATGCCCTGGAATTTCAAAGTTAAGCCAGGCAGTCAATAGAGATTCAATTTAACTTGTAAACATTATAAACTTAATGCAGTTAAAGTGCTAACATGACAGGGTATGTAGGTGTACAAATAGACTTAGAACTTCTCCTTTAGTTGTATCCAATTTACAGATCCAGTGCATCTCTTTAAACCAAAGCTGAATAATTCACTATAAGAAGAGGAAGTACATCAATCCGTGCTATGAGTAATGTTAGTAATATACAATGTTCCTGTAACTCTGTAATTAAACTTGTAGGAGGACAAAAGAACAAATAAGAAGCTATGTACAGCAAAATAGACAGAAACTATTTACAATACATATTACCATATGATGTAAGGGTGTCAAACTTGTTATGGGCAAATGCAAATATTACAAGTCTTAGAATGAAATGTTGTATTTCTTAAACTGTGTACTTTGTCTTTAAGAGCTATTGCAAACTGACAAGGTGTTAGAAATGGAACATATTGTTTTTCATAACTGTTTCTTTAAGCAATAACCTCAGTGCATAATATGTTTGCGCCATTTTGTCCCAGACAATTACAATAACAATAATGCATAAACAAGCTTCAAGGCTATGCTACGACTCTTGCAGTACACAATATACTGTGGTAACCCCAAGTTAATGGAACTTCCCCAAATCCGGGAATCTCCCACGACTGTACACTTACGACTTAGTATAAACAACAGATAACCTATTCAGACTTTAAGATGCCATCTTGAACTAAGTCAGGAAAATTTCCATGACGTATACACCCTTTAGTTATGGCCTTGTATGTTTGCCAAATTAAGGGAGGTCCTAAATTGAATAAAGTAAAAGAAGTGTTACTTTTTCATATTTGAACTACAGTAACCTAAAATGGAGACATCTGAGGTATAAATAGGTGTACTTTTAAATGTTAAGACACAGAGGAGAGACTTGGAGACAGACGCTGCTCCATCTTAAAATGACAGAGAGGCTGACATGATGACATGTTCAGAAGGGTATGTTAACCTATTAATGATATTTGCAAGCATGTAATTTAATCTTATAAACTCTGCTATAATGGATTTTATATTTTTATATAATAAATATCCAAAAGACAATCTTGCTTCCAAGACAATCCTTATTTTATATTGTATTCTCAATTATTTATATATGTTAAATAGAGGATCTCTTACACTATATAAAATTATGGCTAAGATATCTGTATGGTTAGCCCTACTAAGTTCTATGCTTTAAGACATTATAGTGGTAAATAAGGGAACCACACACGGTTACAATTGGCGACCACGAAGGGACTTTGTACTTGGAAGCTTTAAATATAAAATAAATACCTAGGTAACCTCTTATACGTAAGAGAAGACACAATACTTTGTCATGGCACAAGTCTTGAAATATCAAGAATCTATTGAGCTATTTGTAGCCCAGACTCAGAGAGATCATCATTAGAGATAATTTTAATGTGAACAAGGCACTGTGAGTTCAGGTGCAAGGTACAATGTAATTAGCATACAATGCTGAAATTGTGGATCTTAACTAATATCATAATAGAACAAATATACATATTTGGTAAACTCCCTGATATGCCTAATACACCAGCACAGCATGGCCCATTAGTTCCAGAACAGTGGATTGCAGAGAGGGGGATAAGTTCTCTTTGTAACTGCTTAGTATGCATGCGCAGGAAAAAGATTAATGCAAAATATTGTCAAAAGAAAAGTGATAAGACAGAGCGATGAAATTTGAAGTCTAATTCCAAGAATGCAAAGAAAAAATGCATTATGGCTTAATGAAAACATTCATGCAACAGACAGACAGGATTTTTAATTATTGCATTACTGCGTTCTGGATTCTAATGTCCACTATATAAGAAAGGTTTTAGAAAACAGTGATAATTTCCATATTGTCAATTATGCTTGCTGTTGATAGAAAATCAGGAATTAGAACAGCATAACTATTTTTTCAGTCTGGAATTTCCAGCCAAGGTTGCAGAGATACAGAGACATGTAAACATTCCAAGGAATTGAGAAGTCGTTTTTTTTTATATTCCAAATTATGAACAACATACAGCCATAAAGAGAAAGACATGGCTTTTAAATAAATTCAGTGCAGTACAATGCAGCACATATTTTATATAATATATGCTAGCTAGCTCATATTTTTTCCTAAACAGAGTTGAAATTATACTACCCTGATAGAAAAAAGGGCAACAGGCTCTGCAAAAAAATGAATATTTATAAAATGATTAAAAATAATATATACGTAAGATAGATCAGGGCAAAATAAAATTGTAACTATACAGGATCTCTAATAACTTTTAAACTGAAATTATTAAAGGCTTATTTAAATAAAATGTTAAATACATTTACAGCTTTAAATGTGACCAAAAGATATTAAATGATGTGTTAAGCAGCCAGCCCAATTCACTAGAATAGCATAAGTATTCTACTATTTAAAGTGCACAATTCCTGCACATAATGACTTTGCTTACTTAGGTACAGTCTTTAGTCTATTGCAATGGCAGTAAAGTCCACCAATTTTAAAAGGGAAAGCTTACTTAAATCATTGGTACTATCCCACCGTACTAGCAGTAAGGAAATTAGAACAATGATATTGTACTACTGACTGTAATCGGTCAGACACATGTAATCTCAGTGAATTTCATAAACTAGGTTTTCATAAGATAAGATTAAATATCAAAGTTGTTTATATATCAATATATCAATGTTGTTTATAAATAAAAGTATATAGACTAGGCAATAACAGCATTTACATGCATTCAGCAGCCTGCTCTCTCAAAGCCAGAAACGGATTTATAAAAAAAAAAAAGTAGGTTTTAAAAAGTCCACAGTCAACCACACATGAAGGGTGAAATAATTGCTTCTTTAAAAGCTGTATGCTGCTGCAATTATGTATATAAATACTGATCAGGGCACAGCGTAGAACTAAAAATACAGTTTCAAATCTCATATATGGGGATTCAGTTCCACCACATATTCTACAATTCTGAAAGAGGCTAATTTTAATAATATGTTGTAATAGCATTGTGAATATATATACTGCAAAATTAATTTGATATTGCAAAGCCTGCAATATTCTAAACAGACATTAAAATTTAAGAAAAAAAGAAAAATAATAATGCCAAAAAAAAAAATGCATAAAGGATGCATAAAAAAATGCAGTGTCAATTAAAGTGATGATACTCTGATATATTAAATCACATTGCATATCACATATCTGCTATATGAAAAGTATAAATTAGGTGACATTACTGTCCAAAGCCCCCTCACATCTATTTTATAGAATCTATACTTTTTTGTGGTCACCTCCAAAGAAGCCTCTGAAATTGGGGGCTCAGAGGGGTGCTCATCCCAAAAGAAATCAGATTCCAGGCTTAAAATTTTTTTTTAAATAAATAAATGATAGAAAAAGAATCATGGAACACCCAGAACATGCATTTTTGTATATAATCTTAATTTGCAGATATTTTATGCCTTAAAGACATATAAAGGATATTTAATTAAATATGCAGGTATCTTTAAAAAATTAAGCAATGTTAAAAAAAATAAATAAAAAAAATAATAATAATAAAAAATTTATTTTACACCACAATATAAACAGCTTTGTTAAACAGATTTAAGTACAAGTACTTATGTCAAGAAATATACAGAATACGTTTACAACAGGCAGGTTTAGCATAAATGCAAAGTTGTTGTTTTGGGGGATTTATTATTGCCCAAGAAATCTCCGAACATATTCAGAATTTTTAAGAGTAGCAAGTAAGACAGCAGATTGCAATGGACACCATTACAATATTGCTTTGCCGATTGAGGTCAGAGATTTAAAGAATAAATGTTCTATAGCTCGCTAGACCACTGGCTTTTAATGAACAGTTTGCACAACACTTATAAATAGTTTATTATACTGCACATTATAGCTGTGACAACATAATACACAGGGTAACAATGCTATGTCACTGTTTAATAGACTTACCCAGTATTTAAGGACGACATGTTTCTTGCAAAGTAATCTGGACTTTGAGGAAGGTTCTAACTATGTTTAATTAATTAACTTACAAAAAAAAAAAGAAAAAAAAAAAAAGAAGTTTATTTTTCCCCTGCAAGTGAGTTTTCAGCGCAAGGTCATCTTGTGTTCACAGACTATTCGGTTTTAAAAAGCTGTTCTTTATCTCACATTATGAACGGCCTTGTAATTCCTATCCACACTAAAAGTTGGCTTTTAAATGTTATTGTTTTAACTTTAATATTTCATAGTTAATACAGAGGATAAAGTAATATAAAGAAAGTATATTAATTGATAAGATTTAATTTATCTATTTTGGTCCACTGTTCACTGATCTCGAGTCTCAGTCTGGTGTTCAAACAGTTTTTCTTACGATACGTCGTGAGTTTATATCCACAGCTGCATTTTGCTTTGTGATAACAAATTGAAAGCCTGGCATTGTAACACGTGTATGGACATGCTTATAACAAAGCATGGTCCCTCTCCTCATGTCGTTAACAGGCACTTTGATGCAATGTGTCTACCAATGCTTTTCTGTGGTCACTGGATCACATCGCATACCCTATCTCTCTGTCATGATGCAGAGTTTATGCTTGCAAGGATATCCAGACCTTATCCACCTGGTATCCGCATAAATACTCCTATCGTTTAGAGGGGTTAATTACATAATAACCATTGAAGGTAATATGTTGGTTGTTCTTCCTATAGAGGAAAGATGGACTTGCCCTAAAAGCTTTTTCATGGCTAGGACAAGCTCTTATAGAGAGAGGTAATGTACTTCTGACTCCTGAAAAGGAATATTGTTGGTCACAATATGGGAAATACTGTAATTCATGTGTTTAGTAATCATAAGCATTTGCTTATTGCCACATTACTGATGTATTGTTTATTGAAATATTAATATCCAACATACTTTTGAATTACTATATATTGAAAGTTTGCCAACATCTCATGGTTATAAATATGTTTTTGTATGTGTTGATGCATGTACCAGGTTTACTTGGATATATCCTGTGCGAAGTGCAACCTCTGATGCCACGTTTTCTAGTCTCACTTCCTTAGTATGCATTTGATAATCCCAGGACCATCCATTTGGATGGTGGTCCTGCAGTTACTGCAAAGGAAACCTAAAACTGGGCAACCACATTTGGGTTACTTTGGGATTTCAGTGCCCCAACCACCCCCAAAGAAGTGGGGTTGTGGTCTGGGAGAATGCTGAGGTTAAATGATTATTAACCAAGTTACTAGCTGCTTGCCCCACACAGTGGTATCTATTTATTCCTATGGTACAGATAAGCATTCACAACATACCTGATGATACAAATGGTGAGACACCATATGAAATGTTACATGTTTTTTCACTGACAATTATATTTCTGCACCAGGGAGAGCTTAGAACCATTGGTTCTATTAGAGAAATTTAGGATTTTTTTTTTCCAGCCCACCACGCCTTGCACCACCGACTTTTTTCTACTGTTGGCCAGTTTGTCCTGGAGAGGGTGACTCAGGTAACTTTTACTACAGAGAACAATCAGAGCCAACAGAGAACAGTAAGTTTTGATATTTTACAACCTGCTAAATACTTCCAGGACGTTCACAGAACCACTGACTGATACAATGGATGCTGTTAAAGATGACAAGATAAAACAAACAGAGGATGACAGAAAAGCCACCAGAATCATAGCCACGTAACAGACTGAATCATGATCTGACATCTGAACCTGCAAATGTGAAGGAGAAGGATGAACAGACAGACGTTATACATTCACAGTTAATATGGAATGTACGAAAAATGAATCATCAACATCATTATAAGAAAGACTCTGGAGAAAACAGACTGAACCTGAATTATCTTGTACAGTAAGAAAGAAATGCAAAGATGGAAGCAAAAGGATGTTAGAAAATTGGTTATGGTGTCTCCTTCTTACAATCTGCAGCATTATCATAACATCAACCCTAGCTGTCGTTTTAAAACTGCATTGAGATTATGTTAACAAGCAGGACTATATAACACACTATACAAGTTCTTTGATCGTGAGGACTACCTCCAAGAACTATCTCAAAAGGAGAGACATAGCGCACAGTGAAATGATTGCCTACACTGGTATTTCACAAGGAACCTATTGAGATCATTCCAAAAAAACGATTATACACGAGAAAGATGTGATTGGACTAATACAAATCCTAATAATGGACTCAACAATGATGACAAAGCATGCTGAAAACAGAAAAAGATGGGACAGATGTTTGTGAAAGACTTTGGATGCACCTATGAAGGTGATGCAAGAAAAGACTTTGCCATATAGTTTATCATTGAGTGACTACCGCAAACAGCCTTCTTATGCTGAAAAGAAGTGCTATGCTAATTCTGGACATTGCAATTATGTATCCAGACAGAAGATGACCGGAAAAAGAAATAAAGGCTGATAACTGTCAACACCCAGCTGTTTTTCAAGATGGAACATGGTACTGAGAAAACCAGATTGACTATCAAAGCACCTCACAGTACAACACAAATTGTTGCCTACAACTCAGAAAAAGTGGTTATAGGAAGGAGCAGAAGAAGAGGAATATAGATTTCCTACTGGAGTGAAAAACCATCCTGGAACAATATTCTGTAACAATGAACTTTAAAATGACATTTGGTGGCATATGAATTTGAATTTGGTAGAAACACATCAATTAACTAAAGAAACCTTGATGCAATTAATAAATAATAACAATACCGGCTTACTAAGAGCAGATGCCCTGCCAAGAGAATGGAATATAAAAAGACCAACAAAATCTTTCAGAAACCTGACATCATGGGACACTTGTAACAAAGCACGATTTGCAGCTTTTCTTAAACTCTACATATTATGTACATACCTGCAAAGCAAGGACCTCCTGTAAACATAAAGACAGAGATATTGATACAACAAGGAATCTGTAATGGTTCTGTTGCAGATGTGATCTACCGTCGTACTCCTTGCTCTTTTGGTATAACTATACCAATGAAAACGTTAAATGGCTCCATAGAATCAAACGACAACGGATTATTGCTATATTCTGGACTTCCAGGAATGTGGTGCATGGACAGAAAAATTATAATTACTAAAGCAATCATGCCATTTTTTCCCTGTATCAGAAATGTGTCAGTGACAATGTGTAATATAATACAGATACTATAATTAATGGTATAAGAAACACATAATGTGTTAATTACAAAGGTGGATAGACTTTGTGAATATCTGAAACGCAATTGAAGATTATTGCTAAAATGCCATATGCAGCTGCAGTCTGCCCTACAAACAAATATATTAGACATACGTATAAGAGCATAACAGCTAATTACCAAGATGAATAATTGAATCATGATAGTTAAAGATCATATGATTACAATAACAACTGCAATAATGAATAATGTTTAAACTTTAGAAGAAAATATAAAATGTTTTTATTAAAACAGAAACTACTCGATATTCGTTTAAGTTTGCAGAGTGGTATAATTAATATAAGTGAAATACTTCAACAGTTAAAAACAGTTAAGACAGGCAGAAACTTTACTTCAACTATCATAAAGTTTATTTATAATGATAAGAATATTCAGTCTGCCAGAGCTAAGGCCAGTCAATGGAAAGAAAGAGTATTATGGATTAACCCGTCCAGGTGACATACATGATGATTTTGGAAATTGATAAGTTAAGTCACCTATTGCAAACTTGTGAAAAGATGTCAAAGATATAAATTCAACATCCATACCACTCTATGTATATATATATATTAAAATACACGTAATCAAATATTTTATCAGTTTTTCAAATACAAAGAAAATGTAATTTGGTTTGTAATGGTTAAAGGTACATAAACCACCTATACAAAGGTAGAGTTAAAATATAAATACATTCAATATTGTATCGGAGTGCTTTCTTAACTCACTTTTAGAAATAATAAAAAATCCAAATCATCTTAAGCTAACCCAACAGCCACTGAAAAATATACTTAACAATTAAGATTCTCATTGTTAAGCATCCAATCTCACAAACGTAACTTTCCACAATGGCTGTCAGATCTTGGTAAAAAAAAAAAAAATGTTTTCTAAGACAATTTTTGGGTGTTTCTGGTATTTTAAGCCACTAATAACTGTAGTTATTATATTTACTAATTAGAACTTAGGGAATAAGTTGTCTTCTCCCTAACAGGACAAAGAAAGATAATTAACGTCATATTTCCAATTATCAACTATTCTAAATATATTGAGAGATTTTGAATAAAGGAGTATTTTTAACATTTAAAGAGAATGTAATTTTACATACCATTGTGAACAAAGGTGGTAAATATTTTGCTGCTTCAAATTATCCTTATATATCTAAATCATATACAAAGGTGTTTATCTTTAAAACAAAACACTAGAAAGATTAACTATGTTACTATTTCATCTATCATTATTATACAAACTATAACAAATGAAAAGATTTTTCCACAGATTTGACCTGTGAACATTTTTAGCACAACAGCACCTGATGTCATTGAGATGTCTATCACTGAGATGTTACAAAGATTCCAATACAGCAAAAAGAGGCGTTCTTGAGAATCCACTTCAATTGCTGTATCAACATAACATTTACTGTAATGGGATCCATGTCACTTAAGACAATGTCTTGGAAATGCTGTCAATTAATTTATTCCGTAAAAGAATATCGGAGAGTATCCAATCTATACACATCATAAATGGTGTAAAAAAATGTTTCATGAAAAAAACAAAATAAAAAGCAAAGACAAAGACAAACACCAACACCATCACCACGGTGATAACAGATGATGCTGATCAATATCCGCAACCAATTCTAGCCAAATATTTGGAAAGCTGGACTCTACAACCTATACTCTATAACAAATACCCGGGTATTCTACAAACACAACCTCCAGCAATGTATCTAAGGAATGTAAACTTCTACAGGCCTTTAAAGACTTTGGATTACAAATACAATTACTGTTTTTAATTTTGGATTACAATTCGTATCCAGATCTATCCAGGAATATCTTACTCTGGAACTTGGTGTTCTTTTCAATTCTTTCCCAGACAAAAGCTTTGCTCATTTTAATCAACCACCTTTACAGGCAAAGATCACACTATGGATATTTTACTGTTACAACAATGATCTAAGATGCTGGGAGCACAAAAAAACAAAAGACTGTTGGAAAACTTTGGTTTACTAATTTAAGGAAGAAATGCGCTACAATGCCCACAGTTTAATGGAGAGGGTGTTATGGGCAAATGCAAATATTACAAGTCTTAGAATGAAATGTTGTATTTCTTAAACTGTGTACTTTGTCTTTAAGAGCTATTGCAAACTGACAAGGTGTTAGAAATGGAACATATTGTTTTTCATAACTGTTTCTTTAAGCAATAACCTCAGTGCATAATATGTTTGCCCCATTTTGTCCCAGACGAATTACAATAACAATAATGCATAAACAAGCTTCAAGGCTATGCTACGACTCTTGCAGTACACAATATACTGTGGTAACCCCAAGTTAATGGAACTTCCCCAAATCCGGGAATCTCCCACGACTGTACACTTATGACTTAGTATAAACAACAGATAACCTATTCAGACTTTATGATGCCATCTTGAACTAAGTCAGGAAAATTTCCATGACGTATACACCCTTTAGTTATGGCCTTGTATGTTTGCCAAATTAAGGGAGGTCCTAAATTGAATAAAGTAAAAGAAGTGTTACTTTTTCATATTTGAACTACAGTAACCTAAAATGGAGACATCTGAGGTATAAATAGGTGTACTTTTAAATGTTAAGACACAGAGGAGAGACTTGGAGACAGACGCTGCTCCATCTTAAAATGACAGAGAGGCTGACATGATGACATGTTCAGAAGGGTATGTTAACCTATTAATGATATTTGCAAGCATGTAATTTAATCTTATAAACTCTGCTATAATGGATTTTATATTTTTATATAATAAATATCCAAAAAGACAATCTTGCTTCCAAGACAATCCTTATTTTATATTGTATTCTCAATTATTTATATATGTTAAATAGAGGATCTCTTACACTATATAAAATTATGGCTAAGATATCTGTATGGTTAGCCCTACTAAGTTCTATGCTTTAAGACATTATAGTGGTAAATAAGGGAACCACACACGGTTACAAACTGAAGATGTATGTTGTATTGGCAACACACAGAGGGATGAGCTCACTCCACAAAACAAAGCAATAGATTTATTAAAGCTACATAAAACACCACTGGGTGATACGAAAATATATATGAGATAAATTCTTACTTCAGGTTTGTTTCCCTCTATCTTTCTCTCTGAAGATAATTTGAATTTGTCCACATGCTGCTCTCTAGAATCTATTTTTTTGCTCTGTTGTGCACATACAAATGTAATAAATTCCTGATTTTCGTTTTCTGCATGACTGCAAGTACATTACCAGCATCACCCATAGATCATTGAGATTGCTTTACTGATTGTTTTTATATTTATTTTTGTTTTATTCTGCCTTGTATTCCTAAATTGCACATTTTCATAGAACTGATCAGATTTATCTAAAGTCTTACATAAATACTGCACAGAATCATCGCAGGACTGTGAACAGCTGATGTGCATGCCTTACATACTCCTACTTGTGGTAGTACAGGACAGTGATGACAGGCAGTTTTATGTGTCCTAAAAACTTGGAGTTTACACTGATCAGCCACAACATTAAAACCGCCTGCCTAATACCATGTAGGTTTCCCTTGTGCTGCCAAAACAACTCTGATGCTTTGAGGCATGGACTCCACAAGACCTCTGAATGTGTCCTGTGGTATCTGGCATCAAGACATTAACAGCAGGTCTTTTATGTCCTGTAAGTTGCAAGGTTGGGCCCTCCATGGCTCAGATGTGTTTTTCCAGCACATGCATAGATGCTCAATCGTATGAGATCTGGGAAACTGAAGGCCAAAGCAACACCTTGAACTCTTTGTCATGTTCCTCAAACCATTCATTAACACTTTTTGCAATGTGGCAGAGTGCATTATCCTGCTGAAAGTGTCCACTGCCATCAGGGAACAGGAAGGGGTGTACGTGGTCTGCAACAATCTCTAGATAGGTGGTACGTTTCAATGTAACATCCACATGAATGCCAGGACCCAAGGTTCCCAGCAGAACATTGCCCAGAGGATAACATTGCCTCCGCTGGCCTGCCTTCTTCCCATAGTGTTGCCATCTCATCTTTTCCCCCGGTAAACGACACACACTCACATGGCTTTCCACATGATCTAAAAGAAAACATGATTCAGACTAGGCAACCTTCATCTTTTGCTCTCATGATCCATTTCTGATGCTCACATCCCCACTGAAGGTGTTTTCATCAGTGGACAAAGGTCATTATGGGACTCTGACCGGTCTGTGGCTAACTGCGATGCACTGTGTGTTCTGACACCTTTCTATCATAGCCAGCAATTTAAGCTACAGTAGCTTTTCTGTGTGAGTGGACCAGAAGGGCTGGCATTTGCTCCCCACATTAACCTATTGCGCCCATGACCCTGATTCACTGTTTGTCCTTATTTGCACAACTTTTTGTAGGTACTAACCACTGCATACTGGGAACACCCCACAAGATTTACTGTTTTCAAGATGTTCTGATCCAGTCATCTAGCAACTACTGTCAAAGTCACTCAGATCTTTCCACTTGCCCATTTTTCCTGCTTACAACATATTAATTTCAAGAACTGACTACTTAACTTGCTACCTTAAATCCCATCCCTTGACAGGTGCCATTGTAATGATATAAGCAATGTTATTCACTTCACCTGTTTTAATGTTGTGGCTGATCAATGCACATGCTTCTGTAATCAAGTGAACTTGGCTTGTCTCTGTTTAAGTCTCCGTTTAAGTTTTCCTGTGCTGTCTGACTAGGCTCTTTGAGCATATTTCTAATATTGTGTCTGAATTGCTTGCCCTTATTTTAGAATGGCAGGCTATAATTTAAAATGCTATTACCTGGTACCTGTACCAGACTCTGTGTAGATACCTAACACCTGATTAACAAACTCATGGTTATTCAAGAAACCCAGAGATTTAGCAAATGAAACATGAATAGTAACATTCAAGCTAAAATAACCTACCTGTGAGCTTGGCTACACTTGAGAATTTTTCCAAATAAGCAATTTTTGCCACTTGGATAGTCATTGGCTTAAAATTACATGTCCTGCCCTACTAGTCAGGCCTTAAACTTTACTCACCAATGGCTAGTTGAAAATGTAAACCCTGATATGCATATATTATTCAGCACAGCATGATTTATATGTGTGGCGCACATTTGAAGGATACATTGAATTGCTCAGTTCTTCAAGCTGAAAAATAAAAATAACACAATGTCAAAAACATGGCCACCACCTGCACATATGTTAGTGATCAGGTATTATTATTATTATTATTATTATTACAAAAAGAGATTGCACACTAGAATAACTCCAAAGAGATATCCATATAAATGCTTTATTAAACCAAGTTGGTATAACAAACAAGAATAGAAAAAATAAAGTGACAATAATAAGGCAAACCAATATAAACAGTAATAATTACCACAACTTCCACAAGCCTACTGCCAGTCCTGTTTTATTTATCACATTTTAATAAATAAATGTTATATGTACAAAGAAGCAAACAAAATGTTTCCTCACGTTATTTAAGAGCTGCTCCAGGTTGCGTTCTGCATGTGTCTCTTCTCTCAGCTCCTCTGCACACACATCAAGACTAAAATGGAGGCGTGCTAGCTGCTCCTGCATTTCCCGCACTCGCTCCAACTGCTCAAAAGAGCACACCTGGCCTGCAAGAGTGAGGTGGAGCGAACACTCAGAGACAGAATTAAACATTGAAGCAATGAGCAGTTGGTGTGATACAAGCAAATCATAATGGAGGAAACCCATCAATGAAATGTTAATATTTTTTCCAGTAATAGTTTATCTTTAGATGAGTTGTTTGATTTTTAAAGCATGTATGACCTTATGTTCCCTTCCCTCCACTGCCGTAATCAATGCTCTTTGGCTAGATGAGGTGCTTACTTTAAGATCACATTCAAATTGTGATCAGTGCTTTACATCAAACGAGCCAGTTGACATCATCACAAAGTGAATACACAAGAAAGAAAACATAGTGACATTCAATGAGTATCATGTAAAATGGCAGCACTCAGGGAAGGAACATGAGGTAACACATTATGTATATATTAACAATAACAGCAACATAACTAAAGTGACAGTTTTCCATTAAGATTGAACACAGAACTTAATATACTGGAGTGAGGGAAGGAGCCTGCTGGTGAAACCACTATCTAAGCCAGTGATGGCGAACCTATGCACAGCTGGTACCCGGAGCCCTCTCTGTGGGCTCTGTCCTGCAGGGCCAGTGCTATCCAAGTGCCGGCGCTGCTGGGTCCCTTCACGGACCAGAGGGGAGATCAGAGATCTCCCTCAAAGGTCCGCAGGCACATTGTCGGCAGGGATGGGAGAGGAGACCCAGGAGCTCTAGCTTGCAGCTCCGCCGGCTCTCCTCTTGGAGCGTTGCCACGCTTACCATGGCAATGCTCCGTTCTCGCGAAAGTGAACTCTAACCCAGGAGCTGCAAGCTAGAGTTCACGCCCCACTAGAACCGCCAGGGATACTCCACCGGCCCACCAGGGCTTCACAATCGATATCCCCCCTCCCTGGGCAAAGGTAAGAAGGGAGGGGGGATAAAAAGAAAAAAAAAATGTAATTAAAAAAACAAAACACCCCCATACACACACACTTCCCCCACTGTACCCCCATACACACACTGCCCCACCACACACTTTGCCCCCACTGTACCCCCATACACACACACTGCCCCCACTGTATCCCATACACACTGTACCCCATACACATTGCCCCCACTGTACCCTCATACACACACTGCTCCCACACACACTCTTCTCCCCCCACACACACTGCACCCCCATACACCCACTGGCCCCATGCACACAGTGCTCCCACTGCACCCCCATGCACACACTACACCCCTAGTTCGGACAACTGTATGGTGTGTTTTTTCTAAACTTAAACCTCAGTATTCAGGTTTAATTGCCATGTTGGCACTTTGAGGGAAAAAAGTTGGTTTGTATTGCGGTTTGGGCACTTGGGCTCAAAAATGTTCGCCATCACTGATCTAAGCAGATGTTACTCAGACAGCAAAAAACGAGAACAAAATCGAGATCAAGAGAAGAGTCACCAAATTACAAATATCTCATTTTCTTACATACTGCTTCCTCACACCACACAGGATCTTTTCAACCCCTCTTTTACCAAATGCTTGCAGTTTTCCAGAGTGAAAGTCATTGAGCAGACTGAGGAGACCCCCCTCCATCTCACACACGTGAGATACATCTGTAAGGAAGGAATGCTGCAAGCTAGGTCCAGGGCTCACTCCCTCAGAGGGCGCTGGCGGACGCACACGCTCCTTTACACTCCTGTAGAAGAGCACAGGAAAGAAAGCTTAAGTGTTTAGCGCGGATATCCTACAGAGTATTAAAGGCCATTTTACAGCATGTCACATTGTAAAATTTAACTGGTTTGTTTATTCACATAAGAGTAATACAAATTTTAAAGAAACCTTCCAAGCACTGTAGCCACTACAATTTAATGGTTTTGTGCCAGGAATTCTCTGGCGACATACCAATGCTTAACTATTTTGATAATGTACCAGGGTCTCCTGGGAACCTGGATGTCTCTGCACAGCTAAGCACAGGCAATCCAGGACCACATTCAATGGCCAAGAGCACTCAGCTGAGGCTAAGAGCCAATGAGCAAAGTTCTGCTTAGCTTGGTAGAGAAAACCATATTTTCAGTCCGGAAGCAGGAGCTGCAGGTGTGGGCATCCAGTGGAACCTAGGTAAGTGCGGCTGGCTCTAGTGGTTATGGTGCTTGGTTATTAACCAGGAAAGCAATTGTTTGTTTTTTGCATTTTTTTGTTTTGTTTGTTTTTTTCAGAAATAATAACCAACAAAAGGAACAGACACACGATGATCTGAATCATGAAAGGTTTGTTAGAGTTAACATACCTTGAAAGGTGGTGTGAAATATAGTTTGGAGATAACTTGTCCAGGAAGGGTATGAGGTGCCTGGGAGCAACTCCTTTAGCTATGCTTTCCTCCTCAAGACTATAGTTAAAATCTACAGCAACAAACTGATGCCTTCACACCCCATGTGTACCTACAAACAAACAATCTCATTCCCCAAATTAGCTTCCCTCTTTCTCTGACAGATGGCCTCTATTTCACTATCTAGAGACCTCTACTTTCTGCTTTGTATTGCGTTCTGTGTCCATTGTGCTACTGTGACTTTGAACTTGATCTGTGTGCATTTAGATACCGTGCACACCTCAGCACATTGCTCCTTTACTTCTCTCCTACAGCCTCCCAAAGACTGACCACTGAGATGCCAAATTTAAAAATATTGGATTTTCCTCCCCAGATTTGAAATTTTTGGTAACGCTCAATCTTTTTAAGTGGCTCTAAACCATGTGAGTGAGACCAGCAGTTGTATAGTTCCACTCGGTATTACTATATTACCCTATGTCCTTTTTTCTGTTCTATGTATTACAAATTGACTATGTTCAATGTGGGTAATTTTATCGTTGAGTGCTCTCACCATTGTGTTTATTATGTTTTCACTATTGTATGTTGTGGTTGAGTGACCCATAGAGGTGATAGTAGCACCATATTGTGTTTTTGGATAAACCCTTTTTCTGTATTCATTATCTATTAGAATGAGGATGCTTACCTCTTGATTTTGTTTCTTTGTTTTGGGGAAGGAGGATGGGGAATACCCAGACTAAAAGTAGCGCTCTTAATAGGAGGAGCTGTAACTTTGCGTAAAGGTCCTGGGGGTAGCGTTTGGGTTACACACACTTTGGGGCTTCTCTTCTTCCTTTTGTCCTCCATTATCTTCACAGAAAAGTATCTGTAAATTATAAAATAGAGGTTAGCAGTCAGGGTTGAGAATCCAGACAAATAAATATATATAATATAAAGATCTCTGTATTAAATTCACTGGCTGGGTTTCTGCATTCTCAAGTTGTTGTGGCGCGTTTCCAATGAAACAAGAATCTTTGAATCATTTAGAGATACTGGATACACCTGTCATGTGGGGACAAATGAAAAGCCAGCAGCCTCACTCACCACCTTCCTAACTGCCTCGCTTGGTCCAACTTGTCACCTGATATATGTGTGACATCAGCACTCTATTTAGATGTATCTAATTAACAGCAAATGGATAAAGTTGAAATGTCCTACATGTGAGAGCTTATGGAACCGAAATTTTATTAGAGGTCGTGAAGTTCCATATTGCTGATTTGTCAGATAAGTACTGAGACACTCTGGCTCTTCTCTGTGTCTCTTACTGACTATTTATTTATTGCCTGTAATTGTTCTGTGTCTTGTCTTATTTCTGAAGCTTTCCTCAGCCATGTTGCTGATATCACTTACTGTATCACGTCAATTAAAGTGACTTGTTTTAAATAGGAAATCATCAATGGGTCCCTAACTAGGATCCTACTCTAACTTTATATAAAAATGAAGCTGCCACACAGAGGCGTAGCTAGAGGGGTGCAAAGGCGATCATGTGCCACTGGGCACAGTTGTCTCCGGTTTGCTAAAACGTAGCGCGGTCTTGATACAGAGACAGACATACTGACCTACTTTACCTTAGGGTCATCCTGTGATATGCAGACTATCGTGGGGCTGGTGAGGAGCAGAACAAGCTAGATTCCTCAACTACGAATCCATAGAATTAAGGGAAAAACACTAGGCGGGAAGTTGATTTTTTTTCTTTCTTTCTGAATATTATTGTGAAAACCAAGGATGCTCTTAAATTCTTGTAAAATGGCTCTTCCAATTTAAAAAAAAACATTAATTATGAAGAATAAAAATACACTGAATGTAAATTTTTAAATCAGGTGCTATATGATTACATTTTATTAATGTATTTTGCAAGCCAATGTATAGCTGAAAAGTTATTCTCGTTTTATATTTTTCTGATTTCAAATCGAAGGAGGTCTAGTATAGTAGGCCTCAACATTCTTATCCCTGTTAAAATAATCATCTTTTGAAGTTATTATAAATATGATTGGGGAAATGTAATGTTTTAGTGACAGCTCCAATTAGTACAGAGTCCAATAAACACATACAACAATTAGGTATGTACCTTAAACAGGCCACCATGGGGTGAACATAAATTAACTCAAATATCAATTATTTTTGAGGTACAGCCCTGTGTTTCAGACACAATTTAAATTAGTGCCAACCAATACGTTTAGGGAGATTGGCAGTTTCATAAACTATCAGAAAAAAATGACAGACTCAGAACCCATAAAGCACTTCGTAAATTCATATGTCTAAAATAGAGTTACGATCAACACTGCTTACTGGAAAATGTTTTCCTTTTCAGCTTAAAATTTGAAATTCACTTTAACCCCTTAAGGACACATGACATGTGTGACATGTCATGATTCCCTTTTATTCCAGAACTTTGGTCCTTAAGGGGTTAAAGGGTTACTCCAGCCTCCATGACCACTTCTACTTTTAAAAGTAGCCATCTTTATGTGCAGCGTTTCTACAAGTTTCTATGTGACTTAGGCAACCCGTTTGTGCGCTGTGGCCCTTAACCCCTTAAGGACACATGACATGTCTGACATCTCATGATTCCCTTTTATTCCAGAAGTTTGGTCCTTAAGGGGTTAAAGGACCAATATAGTGACAGGAAAACAAACTCGTTTACCTGGCACTATAGGGTCTTTGGGTCCCCCCACCCTCTGGGTCCCACTCCCGCCGGGCTGAAGGGGGAGGAAGGGGTTAAATTCTTACCTTTCTTCCTCTCTCTTTCGACGTCATCCGCGGCAAGAGCCGTGCGCGCATTCAATCAGTCCATAGGAAAGCATTTCTCAATGCATTCCTATGGACGTTGGCGTCGCAGCGATAAGCGCCTCTAGCGGCTGTCAGTGAGACAGCCACTAGAGGCTGGATTAACCCTAATGTAAACATAACAGTTTCTCTGAAACTGCTATTTTTACAGCTGCAGGGTTAGCCCTAGAGATACCCGGCACCCAGACCACTTCATTGAGCTGAAGTGGTCTGGGTGCCTATAGTGGTCCTTTAACAATGTGACAGGGCTCATCTAATATTGGCAGCCAGCAATGGGAGGAAGTGAGTGCAGGTTACTTCCACCCAGATACATCGAGCCATGCAGGATGTAGAGGAGAGTGGCGAACTGACTCCCAACAGTCACAGACAGCAGAAGCCACCCTCCTGCACCCAAAAGGTAGGACGAAGGAGGGTTGCTAAAAGATGACAAGCATCTGTATCTCTATGTTTGACTTTGCGTGTTACGGTATGTGTGTAGGTATGTGCCTCTGTATGTCTTTGTATCTGTATGTGTGTCAGTGTGTGCATGTGTGTCTATGGGTCTGCATCTGTGTATCTACATGTGTGCCATTGTGTGAGTCGGTGAATCCGTACGTGTGTGCATCTGTATGTCTATGTATCTGCAAGTGTGCCAGAGTGTGCATCTGTGTGTGTCTGTGTATCTGTACGTGTGTCAGTTTTTGTACCTATATATTTCCCTGTGTCAGTGTTTGCTTCTATGTGTCTGTAAATCTTTATGTCTGTGTATCTGTATGTATGTCAGTGTTTGTATCTGTGTATCTGCATGTTTGTCAGTGTGTGTATCTGTGTTTTGGAGTATCTGCATGTGTGTCAGGATGTGTATATGTGTATCAGTATGTATGTCAGTGTACGTGTGGCAGTGTATATGTACATACATTTCAACATTCAAATGCCAACACTACACACAAATACATCTCTGAATTCAAACATCAACACAATATACAAAACACACCTCTGTATTAAAATACCAATATTATATATAAACACCCCTGAATTCAAAAAACACCACTGCGCACACATTCACGCCTGCATTCAAATGCCAACACTACATATGAAAACACCCCAACATTCAAAAGCAAACACTACACACACTGCATTCAAATGCCAACAGTTCCACAAATACATCCCAACATTCACACACACATACTCCATTCAAAAACAAGCTAACACTAAAACACATAAACACTGCTCAGTGCTAAACACAACTGTGCAAGGATGAGCAAATGGTAGATTTCCAACTAGCAAAGCACTGTTTATTCTTATTCATATCTCCCTATGAGGGTCATTGCCTACTTTGGGCCAAAATGGCTCTGTTCATCTTCTCTAGGAGCTCCATATTGTTGGTGAGTCTGAGTGAACAGGAATAATACTCACAGTAATGTGTCTCTAAAGTACATTAAATGTGTTTAGAAATCAGTCTGTATAAATAAGATCCATTGTTCTTGTTCTAAATTACATTTTACTTGCATAAATTATTAATAAGTCACCTAACATTTATTAAAATAGCCCAACCCCGACTTATTTAACAGTTTGTTCGTTTGTTTTTTGTTTTTAAAAAGGGGGTGAACATTATACATGTAAGGGGGAAAAAAGGGTTAAAGTAACAATTTAGATTCCCATTTTAGTAAATAACAGCCAGGGACCAGGGTTACTCACTAAAGTAAAAAATGTGGGGAATTCAAAGTGAATTCCAAATTTAAGGGCAAAATAACCAAACTGGAAGCACAGCTGAGATTATTCTAGTTTGTCTATTTAACTGCGTGAAAAAGCAAGAAGCCCCTTTAATGGTTAACCATTTAATGTAAACATTGCAGAGTTAAAGTGGCACTGTCACTGTCTGAGGACTTTCCAGAGTTTGCTAAGACCACCGACGGTGACATCGCCGCTGGTGATCTGGTGGCCAAAATAAATGGGGCAGGTAAAATTTACTTACCTGAACATGTCCCACTGGGGCGCGACGATCTTCTTCCAGCTGGTTCGCTTATGCGTCAGAAGCTGTTGTTACTGCTGTACGCTCGCGCATGAGCATATTTGTTAGGAAGGGGGGGGGAGGACAGTGCCACTTTAACTGGACAGGTACAATGCACACAGACCACTTTAATGAGCTGAAGTGGTCTGGGTGCTTATAGTGTCCCTTTAAATCCTGTGTATTTCTGCAGGGTTTACAATCAGTAGAAAGAGACAAACACCCTGATGGTGTTTGTGTAGTACAGACACAGCTCTTGTGCACTGAAGGTGTGGGGCAGCACATGCCAGTTTAGGCACTGGGCAGTAAGAGCCACAGGGAGTGCCAGTGCCACAATAAGAGGAGGCAGGGAGCTGTGTACACAGAACAGGGAGGACAATGGGGCAGGTTGTGCTGTAATAACTAGGAGTGCGTTATAAGGGTAATATTAATGGAGAGGACACACAGAAAGCAAGAGACAGGAGTCCCTACAGTGACTGACCTGCAGCTGATTGAGCTGTTCACCAGGACCCAGGAGCCACACTTACCGCCTCCTCCCTGTGTTTACTGCCACTGCCTCCCTCAGTACTAAATGTTTATCCCTCTATCCCCTCTTGTCACATTGCTCCTCCTCTTCATCATCAGCCGCTTCCCTCCCCCTGTTTAATAAGCATTGTACCCGATCACACTCCCATCCCCCTACCATGCTCCCTAGCACTGTCTGATAACCCTGTACCATCCTTCCCCATTACATCCTCCTCAGCTGCCAAGTAATGCTTATTATCCAGTGCTATTCCTTCATTACTTTCCTAAACAGGTTAATCTTTGGAGGAGGGTGACTCACAATACAGTACACAGCTCAGCTATCTATTTGTGTCTCCCTGCCTCAAACTTTCTCCACTCCCTCTGACACATCATCCACCCATCCATCATCCATCTGCAATGGCTTTATAGCAGGGAGTACAGCAATACATAACTGGCTGTAAAACCTCAGCTACAGTGAAGTATCAGAGGATACAGGTCTCTCTACTACAGCAATGCATGTCTGCAGGATGCA